CCCCCCACACACACACACATATTAAGAATATTAAGAAGTTTACTCGCTTGAATTCGGCTGTTCTATTGAAGCATGTAGCCCGACCCATTTCGTGTACATACACTTGAAAATGTAAGTGGAGCTGCATAGCGGTCCGCCAGTGAAGAAAAGGGAAAAAAGAAAACGCAGGGAATAAGAGTCTCTTTTTAAGCAGAGGGACCCTGCGCAAGAAACTTAGGCGCCGATACGAGAGACCATAGTGACGAGCGAGACGGAGACAGTAACGCATTCGCAGTATTGAAAGTGTATCCATGCGTCGGATATGCACTATATAAAGCCACGCCACTCTATCACGCCTTACGAGGTAGGCCTTTCAGGACATGGAGCGCTTTTTCGAAATGGTTTTTTGCACGTTGTAAGGTCTCAAGCGATGAGCACAGAGAATTTAGGCCTCAGAAGACGACGATTTTGTCGAAACCTTAGGCCGAACTAATAAAGGTTACACCCATAAACCTCGTACGGCACAAACAACTAACACAAACAAGATGAGCACAGAATTATGATCTATTTCTCCTGAACACTCCAGGAATGTCTAAGCAGTGGTAAGAAATGGAGTTCGATCCCCGGTGATGACTAATTTTTGCAATATAGTTTGGCGCCCCCAGATTGCCGCCAAATGGCGCCATCGTCGAGAATAGATGTCATTGTCGTGTTTTGCGGCAATTTGGAGGCGCCAACATAAATTGCAAAAATTTGTCATCACGGAGGATCGAACTTTGGACCATTTCTTCCCGCTGTTTTGACATTCCTGGGGGCGTTCAGGAAAAATGGACCATGGTTCTGTGTTCCTCACATGAGCCTCTACAACATTCAGAAAACCATTTTGAAAAAACGCTCCATGTCCTGAAAGAACCCCCCCCCCTTGTTAAAACTCCAAAAATGGCCTCTGCGATAAAGAAGACCCAGCTATGCCCCACCTTTCCAGCAGCGATTTTGAGGAACTGGTGATGGGATTTAAAGTAGTATTCAACCATATATATGTACTGCAATATTTATTAGGGCAGAGTGAAAAATTTTTGAAAAAGCGTTTTGAAGACGTTCAATACCAAAAAAGCCTCAAATGCCTCCTTTATTGAGTACACCGATGAATTTCCATTTCTACACTACTTTAATTTCCTTGTACAAGACACTAAATTTTTGGAAGAATACAATCTATGACAATATTTACTTTCGAATCGATCGATTGATTGTTTTGATCTCCTGTGTTCAAATATTCCAATAATTTTGACAACTCTAGTCCCATTAATATTCGAAAATTATAAAACAAATAAATAAATATAAAAAATAAAGAAATATGTATAAGCATGCCAGCCAAGCATTCCACTCTAGAATAGGTGGGGCTAATCGGACCATGGGTCCCTTTCACTGCCGATTTCAGCGTGGAATTTGCCTCAAAACTCTGTTCAAGAAAGTATAGAGCAGTAGAGCCGCACGCTTTTTTTTTGCAGCGTTACGCCTAGTAACACAGTTCGTTATAATTGTACATCTCTGGTGCAAGCCATAGTGATTTAGATCGGGGTGCAGCCTTTCTAGTGCCTACATCCCCCATTAACCGTGCTTATCCTCCAGATGACCGCTAAGCGGAAGGGTGATGACGAGCGGTGATTGCTTGAGAGGAAGACACTCTATGGCAGTAGCCCTTTATAACAAAGTATACATAACTAAGCAGGACTGGGGGCGTCGGTATAAAACGTGCTACAAATCTAATCAGCTTTCCTCTGAACGAAACGTTTTTCTTTGACAGCAACATGGCGTCATGGCACAGCTGGGATTGAAACAGAGCCACAGATGCGCGACCATGGGCTCGCTTCTTTGCCGCCTTCACAGCAATTTGTGGAAAAAAATTAACAAACCCTTTATCAGCATTCTTTCGCGTCTGCTCATCTGATTTTCGCCTATCCTACAAAGAATCCAAAGAAGTTTCTGATGAATATTTAAGATGTAGGAGAGTCTCCAAGCCCACTATGACCACATGGACGATCCAGTAAAAAAATAAAACAGGAAGCTACGGAGGTAATCCCACTTTTGACCAAAGGGCCTCCTAATCCTAAGCCACGGCACATATGGCTTTCCTAGGGTACCAGCTTAGTATTAACAAGGAGCCTTCCAAACCCTATTCAGAAAATAGAGCAGGGATTTGCAGCACGAAACCGAGCGTTCCAAATTCACACGGTATAGGTCCCACTGGAATACTACGTATCCGGCCCCAGCCTATCGTTTCAAAATATGGGCGCTCTCTCCCTCAACACCTTGCTAGCTCTGTACGAAAATTTCCAAAAAAAGGAAGCGAAGCCGAAAGTCGCAGGGAAGGCGGTCACGGGCCACCTCAGATGGATAGAATTGAGCAGCGTCCAGGTGAAGAGTCAAAAAAGACTGGCAGTGCAAAAAAATTGTTTGATAAACGGCTTTTTGATTTCGCATAATTACTCAATTAGGGGCTAAGACCGGTGTCAGACTTTCCAGATTCGGTTGTAGCGATCGCTCGATCCGCAAAGTCTGACACCGACCTAATGGTCACTCATACAATTATACCGCCCACACCGATTAGTAATTCTTGGTAATGGTGCATACAAATAAATAATCAAATAGAGGCGTAGTTGTTTCACTGTAACAGCCTCTGAAGCGTCAAAGGATTGAGAATTGTTTCAGTAAAATTACAATAGCGTCTCCTTTTCGATGCTCAACAGAACTTTTCTAGGAGTCATTGACAGAGTACAAAACGATTCGTCACAACGACTGGAAAACGACCGAAAAGAGAACTAACCTGCTACCACAGTCGCTATCCTGCATACAGCTGGTAGATGGGAACGAAGGAGGAGGTCCAACACGGGCCGCACAATAAGACGCCATCACGTCATTCGCCTTAACAATGAGAGACGATGAAAATGGTGCAGATGAATCGGACCTTCGCGTTGAGAAATTCATGAGGCGCATACATTTCTCGAGATATCAAGGATGAACCCGACAAGGAGGAGCGCCACCAACGAGTGCGATCGAACATAGAGACAGCAATGACAGTTTGCTACATTCAAAACACGATACTTAAAGAGATAAGAACAACAAATATTAAACGACTGCAAGCGAAGCGGAGCGCTCATTTTCGATGCGATTGAGGGCGCCAGATTTCCAAATAACACATGGCATTTTCGAGTAATTAAATAAGGACAGCTTAGCGTTAAGGGCACTGTATATGGCAAATGTCGACATGAGCAGGAATAACGACGATAGAGCCGATGGCCGGCTGGAACGCTGACCAGCCGGCTATCGTTGGTCGTTCACGACGTATGGACGGACGCCAACAAGAGAAGGCAGAATGCGCGTGCATGATTCCGAATCCTATCACAGTCTGTGTAAAGGAAAAAAATGTAAACATATACAGAGCGAGGAAAATGTGCCGCACGTTCGCCCACGTATACTCGTGATAAACGCGGTGACACATTTACAGCTGAAGAACACCTCTGAAAAATTCATTCACATCAACGGCGCCGTCGTCTCGGCGACGACTATGACGAAAACTCACAAGGGCACTTACCATGCTACGTCGCTACAAGAAACACACTCTATAAACAGTCACTAGTTTTGATAACAATGGAGCCAACAAGGCGGTAATTGAAGAGTAGGAAGTATTCAAGGTTCTATAGCGTGAGAAGGTGACGCAATGAGGGCGACCCGATATGACGAGCTTATTATATCATAACAGGTTAAATGTGTAGTGTGTATCGCGATATCCACGACACACATCGACGACGTCATCGCTCATTCTTCTGGCGACTACGCCCACGTGACGTTGAAAGATCGAGAAAGCTGCGCTGAGCCGGCGGAAAGAGCGTGTGTAAGTGAGCGTGTGAGGGTTGAACGCGACGAGTCACATAAGCCTGCGACGCAACCGCCATTGTGGTGCACCCAATTTAGACATGAAGCCTCGCGCGTGTGTCTCCCGCCTCTCCTGCACTATCACGTCATCGCCATCGTGGCTTGCACCGCCCTCATCGGCCTCCGCCTCCGCGCCTTTTATGCTTAATAGTTATACGTAGTTAAACGACTCTGACGGCTTTCATTTCCGACAACAGAAAAACACTGCGCTACACATACAAACACAAATACCCTTTGTTTCAGAAGACGAGGAGCGTGTCGAGCGCAGACCACACACCACAAGTGACGACGGCCTCAAGTAAATCTGGTAACTAGTGATTCATAGTGATAGCTGATAGTTGGTAAATGAGAGTTGTAATTAACTTATGAAATACAACTGCAACAGGCTAGTGAAAACATTTACACTTTGTGGAAGCCGTTGTCACTTGCGCTATGTGTTCTGCACTCGACGCGCTTATGGTCTTCTGAAACAAGGGAACATTGGGCAGCGAATTCTAGGCTACTGACCGTGTCCTAACCAGGGATCTCGTCTGCTGCAACTAAGGCCTGAGAGCAACGTCGGTGGGATTGAGCAGTGAGAAGTTAGCAGCTCAACGCCAGCGTATTGAAGTGCACTTCACTGTGAGCGCCTTGATATCTCAAATCCACTTTCAAAATTGCAGAGATCTTATGAATGGAGTCGCGATGGTTATACCCTGTGATGTCCCGCATCCCATAGTATGAATGGACTCCCATGAGCAGGACGAGGTGAGAGTGAGGTTTGGTTGGGAGAACACAGAGGTAGTGGGTTAAGCAAGATAAAATATCGAATCGCTTCCTGTGCAAACCTTTTTGCTTGTCATTATTTGCCGGTTACTGCTCACAACGCAAACGATAAACGCAGTGAGGATTTCGCCTCACTCATAAGGAGTTACTTCGGAAAAGTGGGAAGGTGTTAGGCTCAAATGGGCCTCAAGAAGCCTGATTTAGGGAACGAAGGAAATCCGATCAAGGCCGATTGGTCGGCTCAGTGACGAAGCAAAACTAACAAAAAGGGTGTCTGGGATGATCGGGATGTCAGTCATCCATGACTTCAATCGCAAATATTGGTAATCTAGTAACTAACTACAGATGGAGGATGTCTGATGAAAAACATACACAAAGGGTTTGTTTAAAATACGACGATATGGAACGACGACGGGGTGCGAATACACACACGCACACGTCACATTCACACACCGTCCACAGACACATTCCGTAAAATGCCTTGTGGATATGCCAGAATGGGATGTCGCCGTGGTTCTTAGAAATGCATAGGCAGGCCTGCTGCAGAGACCAACGCGACTAGCCAGCGAACGCGCCGTTCCCTCCGTAATACACTTCCAACACCAGCGCCAACATCAGCACACGCTGGCGGTAACAGGCCTCCACCACAACATGAAACAGAGCCACAGCTGCGCTTAAACAACAAATAGAACTTCTTATCAGAAAAATACACACATGATCAGCACGCTCCTTGGCACAACGCTACGTAGGGAGCTACACTCACATGGGTGAAACGGCAGGCATACTCATCACTCATGCAGGTTGTCAGAGTCAGAAAACACTTCATGCGAAAGTGCTGGAAATTCCTAGCGCTGAGAGTGAGGCCAAATAGTGTTGGGACTTATGAACGAAAGATCTGAAGGAAATCGGTTCTGGCAAAGCGTTGAATGGGCTAAGCTAGGAATGGGAGGGAGAGAGTCCGAGAAAAGGATGGATGTCGATGCTAGCAGAAAGGAAATGAAGGAAATGCGTGAGCATTGAGGATGAGTTTTATCGGGAAAATATATTTCACATCTTACGATTGATACTGACATCTTGATTCTCTGGAGAGCTATCGGTACGAATTATACGACGGCAATGTTGAACTTTCATACCACGCAAACTGCTTCGGCGTTCGCTTACCCTATAACCAGCTCCAAATGCTTACCTTCTTGCTCACAAGTCTACGATCACTTTCCTCTTGAAAACTAGCTTTCCTATCGTCATATTTGTTCCCCTAAGTGGCCTCTTCATGTTACATCTCGTATGGAATCAGCTCCTTCAAGCCTCTCTCCCATTCATTTGATCCTCATGTTTCTTACGATACGCCCTCCTTTTTCCTGGAACAGCTACCACCTCGGCATGGTTACCCCTCCGTAGCATGTTAGTCTGAGTAACTCAAATAGGCCTAAAGAAGGGATTTTGCGCGGTTTGCTTGAGCCGTGGAAGCTCACGTAGTAGACATCCCGCCACGTGCACTGCAGCTCTACTCATTTTTCAGCTGTAGTTTGTGTCTCGTGGCTAATGCACCTGTCAGTCGCTACATTCTGATGGAAGTCATGTGTTTCGGTTTGCTAGCTAGCCACACCCACAATAATACCCTTGTTTATCACTGCCTCTACAGCATTGACTCCTAATGAGATGTTTTGGGAAGACACACAAAGTCCCCATAAACAAATAGTAAGCACAGCATCACTTTACAGATCCATCATCGCTAATACGCTGCTCCATAAGTTACGCATAAAAAAGGATACAACGCTGACCATCGGTATTGATCAATCCTTGAATACTCCACGCCTCCGGTCTCCATTTGGAGTAGTGGCAGCATTGCAAAGATCACTTGTCTTATACAATGGCCACTGTACCAAGGTTTCATCTTGCCAGGTACCTCTATTTCAGAAACGAGAAGCACATCGAGTGCAGACCACACACCACAAGTGACGACGCCTCCAAGTAAATGGTAACTAGTGGTTCATAGTGATAGCTGATAGTTGGTAAATGATAGTTGTAATTAGTGACAACTGATAGAATACAACTGCAACAGGCTAATCATTTCATTGGCAGAAAACATTTACATTTTGTGGAGGCCGTCGTCACTTGTGGTGTGTGGTCTGCAGTCGAGTGTCTAGTTTTCTGAAACAGAGCGTAAATCTGGTACCACTATTGGCAAAGGTGAACAGCTCGATGAATCAGGGAATTCGATTCTGAAGTTGATACGTGGCACGTGCCGTAGCCTTACCCTCACTCACTTGTGAAATCAGTACGCAAAGTTGGTGACAGTTGCAGTTTAATTACTAGGGATCTCGAATTGCTCTAGTCAAAGATTCGACTCTTGTCCGGTCGACTTATTCTCCCAATACGATGTCTATGAAAACCACTCCCACCCTTTCCCAAGAACCTTCGACGGTCAATCCGAAAACTTCAGCAAAGTAAAGCTCCTCTTTATTCCAATAAGAAAATAATTAATTATTGCTCATCGTGAAAATTCGATTTCCTTTTACATCGAAATTACGTCACTGAGTAACTTGAACGCCCATTCAGTGAAAATTATAGCACGACTGATGTCATTTAATTCTTTCCTACTCAGTGCACATTTTACCTTAAGAATATCAAAACACATAATCGAGCAGTCTTTTATTAACTTACCCACAACACCATTATTCTGTCAAGTTATTCGTGTCCACTAAGAATAACAATTGAAGATCCCCATATTGAGCCTCTACCAGATGGGAAAAAGGATTGGGGGACATGCTATCAGAAGCCACAATTTTGGAGCCACGACGAAGTATGGGAAAGTTTGCATTAATATTATAGATGGGCCTCCCACCAAACCTTTGTCATGAAAAGGAGAAGAAGGGTAGAAAGGCTATGTGGAAATTTAGCCACTTAATTAGGTAGATGTTAGAATGAACAAGCGGCTAGCTTAGCGAAGGATTTCAAAGAAAACCAGAAGCTGGGGATCAAAGGGTCGGATCAAGTTCATTAATAACATTGCAAGTGTACCTTATTCTAGAGGCATTAAGTATAATATGACCAGGTAGATTCTACCCCAAGATGGAGAACGAGCACAACAGTGGCATATAAGGGACAATCCACCAGTCACATCGCCTCTAACCACAACTTGCAACCGAACAACTATTCAGCTAGCCAAATTTTGTAGCGGCAAAATGGTTAGAATAAGAAGGGATAGAAAC